TTGTTTGTTTCATTCAATGACTGTCAAAATATTTTTTACTTGTCTATTAGATCGTACAGATTATAAATCAGTTGTTTTTAAGCGCCGAAAATGGTTATTTTGCATTATGCATCCCATTAGATATTTGCATCAGAAAAAATCTGTTAACATTTGGTCAGCTACAATTTCAAGCTCACGCCCCCTCATGTAATCCCATACAAATTATGTCTCAAAAACACGGTTTTTGGATCATTTCTCAAAATAATGACTATCTAGGCAAAAAAAAAACAGAAGTAGATTCAGTTAATTCAACTATTCACGGACTGTATTATATGGTTTAGATTGAATCCTATTGAAAAAAACCACCGTACTTTTTGAGWTGAATGTTCGCTATTGGATGTATTTTACAAGAGAAAATGCATGACATAAACGGGGTCAAGCAAGAAAATCGTCTCTCCTTGATATACAACAGAAACTGTCAAAAAAACAGAAGTGGATTTGAAATCCCCGGGCTTTCCTGAACATTTTGGTATATAATTCATAGGAATTTGTTAAAATTTAGAACCGTATTTTTGCTGATTTTATAAGCTCATAAGTATACTATCTGTTGGCTTATACATTCGCCTCTTATGGTTTCTTATTTTTCGTAGCCTCGAAAACACGCTAACTACATGCAGTAGTTCGCGAATAACAGAAGATTTACGGGTCATTTAGGATGTTTTGTGCGGAAAGACGGAGAACTAAACTGATTAGTATTCATTGCCACATTTTTCAGGCTTGTCAAGGAAAAATTGTTCATTTTACTCCATCAACACGAGCAAGTTTTCCTTGTTAAGGAAAACTTGCTCTTGTAGATTCGGCTTAAAACAATTATTCGCCTCAGGCTCAGTGAATATGGAGAATATTTACTAAGCCTTCGGCGAATAATTGCTAAATATACACCGAATCCCTAATACTATGACATGTTTGAGAAATATATACATATATACATATTCCCATTTTCCTATTGTCTTACCTGGATTTTCGAGGAAAGACAATGCAAAAAGGGGGATACATATATATGTATATATATCGCCAAATTGTCAGAGTTTTAGGGATTTATATATAATCTAGGAATACAGGTCAGGCAGCTGGACTGGCTGTTACTAGCATAACATTACAGGCGCCAAGGATATAATGCTAAATTTGACTTATT